GTTGTAGCAGTAGTTGTTGTTGTTGTAGCAGTAATTGTTGTTGTTGTTGCAGTAGTTGTTGTTGTTGTTGTAGCAGTAATTGTTGTTGCAGTAGTTGTTGTTGTTGTAGCAGTAATTGTTGTTGTTGTTGCAGTAGTTGTTGTTGTAGTAGCAGTAATTGTTGTTGTTGCAGTAGTTGTTGTTGTTGTTGTAGCAGTAGTTGTTGTTGTTGTAGCAGTAGTTGTTGTTGTTGTAGCAGTAATTGTTGTTGTTGTAGTTGTTGTAGTAGCAGTAGTTGTTGTTGTTGCAGTAGTTGTTGTTGTAGCAGTAGTTGTTGTTGTAGTAGCAGTAGTTGTTGTTGTAGCAGTAGTTGTTGTTGTTGTTGTAGCAGTAATTGTTGTTGTTGTAGCAGTTGTTGTTGTTGTTGTAGCAGTAGTTGTTGTTGTTGTTGCAGTAGTTGTTGTTGTTGTAGCAGTAGTTGTTGTTGTTGTAGTAGCAGTAGTTGTTGTTGTAGCAGTAGTTGTTGTTGTTGTAGCAGTAATTGTTGTTGTTGTTGTTGTAGCAGTTGTTGTTGTTGTTGTAGCAGTAGTTGCAGTAGTTGTTGTTGTTGTAGCAGTAGTTGTTGTTGTTGTCTTGTAGCAGTAATTGTTTTGGTTTTTTGGGTGGGGGTAGGCAAGTTGTTGTTTGTTGTTGTTTATGGCGCAGTAGTTGGAGTAGTTGTTTGGTTGTTTTCGTAGCAGTAATTGTTGTTGTTGTTGCAGTAGAGTTAGTTGTTGTTGTTTTGTAGCAGTAGTTGTTGTCTGGTAGTAGCAGTAATTTGTTGGTTGTGTATGTTCTGTAGCAGTAATTGTTGTTGTTGGTTGCAGTAGTGTTGTTTGTTGTAGTAAGCAGTTGTTGTTGTTCTGCCGTAGTTGTTGTAGTGGAGTAGCATAATTGTCCTGTTGTTGGTTGTTCCTCTGTAGCAGTAGTTGTTGTTGTTCTGTAGCAGTAGTGTTTGTAGTTAGTTGTTGTTTGTTAGCAGCAGTTGTTGTTGTTGTAGTAGTTGTGTGTTTGTTAGTCAGTAGTTGTTGTTTGATTCAGTAGCAGTTGTTGTTGTAGCAGTAGTTGTTGTTGTTGTAGCAGTAGTTGTTGTTGTTGTTGTTGTAGCAGTTGTTGTTGTTGTTGTTGTAGCAGTAGTTGTTGTTGTTGTAGCAGTAATTGTTGTTGTTGTTGCAGTAGTTGTTGTTGTAGCAGTAGTTGTTGTTGTAGTAGCAGTAGTTGTTGTTGTTGTAGCAGTAGTTGTTGTTGTTGTAGCAGTAATTGTTGTTGTTGTAGCAGTAGTTGTTGTTGTAGCAGTTGTTGCAGTAGTTGTTGTTGTAGCAGTAGTTGTTGTTGTAGTAGCAGTAATTGTTGTTGTTGTTGTTGTTGTTGTAGCAGTAGTTGTTGTTGTTGTTGTTGTAGCAGTAGTTGTTGTTGTAGTAGTAGTTGTTGTTGTAGCAGTAGTTGTTGTTGTAGTAGCAGTAATTGTTGTTGTTGTAGCAGTAGTTGTTGTTGTAGCAGTTGTTGTTGTTGTTGTAGCAGTAGTTGTTGTTGTTGTTGTTGTAGTAGCAGTAGCAGTAGTTGTTGTTGTTGTAGTAATAGTTGTTGTAGCAGTAGTTGTTGTTGTTGTTGTAGCAGTAGTTGTTGTTGTTGTTGTAGCAGTAGTAGTTGTTGTAGTAGTAATACTAACAATAATGTTGTTGTTTACTTCTCCCCAGTCTCTAACACCACCCCCTCGACCTCCTCCGGCTCTTCGGACGCCGCCATGTCTCCGTCCTCAGCATCGCCCACGCAGAACACGGTGGCCGTGGAGTGCAGGTGATGACACGCCCACAGGCCCCGCCCCCAACACAGGCACCGCCCCCAACACAGACTCCGCCCACTGCGCCACCTCTGAGGGCCTCATGGGAAACACACCTGTGGACTGACTTCCTGTCTGAGAACAGGACTGACTTCCTGTCTGAGAACAGAACTGACTTCCTGTCTGAGAACAGCCGTCTGTCGCCACAGGAAACGGCTCCTGATTTCAAAATAAAGCCACAGTTTATCCCGGGGGGGGGGGGGGAAACTAAGCAGCACAGCTCGTTATGCAAATGACTTTATTTTTCTCTCGTTAATTAACTTTTTTTTTTTAAGAAGAAAAAAAAAGATTAGAATATAAAGTTCCTGACTTCCTGTTTTTATAACTCAGAGCTTTTATTTTGGTAAAAACAAAGACTTCCTGTCGCAGAGAAAATGAAATATTTTTTGTTTGTAAAGAAACCTTATTTATTCAGTTAAAAAACAGAACCCGACACGAGACGGGAAAATTACGATTAAATTCATAACTAAAATAAACATGAATTTAAATCTCAGGAAGTCTTAATTTCTCCTGAATTTGTTAATTAAACATTTTTAGTTTTTTATGAAGTTTTTATTTTAGGAGATTTATTTATCCCACCCCCCCCCTCTTCTTCTGTGGTGCCGTGGCGCAGGCGGCTGCTTCCTGTTGTAAATAGAGCCGTGCAGACAGACGTGTGTCCAGAAGGTTTTCTGTAAAGAATGATTTATAGTATTTTTTAAGAGACGCCTGTTTGTACTGTATTATCAACTCGTGGTTTTCTATGTGCTGATTTGTTCGGCTGTAAATACACCGACACGAGGACAATGAGCAGCTCTCTGGTTCTAATAAAGTTTTTAAATACGTCTCCACGAGTCTCATGCTGCCTTCAGGCCCTCTACTTTAAAGAGTCCTCTCCTGCTGATGATCAGGAGTATATCAGTGTGTAGTGTCTCTACTTTAAAGAGTCCTCTCCTGCTGATGTTCAGGTGTATATCAAGGCAAGGCAAGGCAAGGCAAGTTTATTTATATAGCACCTTTCAACACAAGGTAATTCAAAGTGCTTTACAAAAAAAAATGGAAGACATCAAGAAAATGGCATTTAAAATCAGTCATCAAAAATAAAAGATAATAAAATAAACATTAAAAGAAAAAATACATGGATAAAAGTTACAGTGCAGTTTAAGATGTGAATAGTTCAATTAAAAGCAGCGGTAAAAAGAAAAGTCTTCAGCCTGGATTTAAAAGTAGTAAGAGTTGCAGCGGACCTGCAGGTTTCTGGGAGTTTGTTCCAGATATTTGGAGCATAATAACTGAATGCTGTTTTACCATGTTTAGTTCTGACTCTGGGGACAGAAAGCTGACCAGTCCCTGAAGACCTGAGAGTTCTGGATGGTTCATAATTTAGCAGAAGGTCAGAAATGTGTTTTGGGCCTAAACCATTCAAAGCTTTATAAACCAGCAACAATATTTTGAAATCTATTCTTTGACACACAGGAAGCCAGTGTAAGGACTTCAGAACAGGAGTGATGTGATCCACTTTCTTAGTGTTAGTGAGGACTCGAGCAGCGGCGTTCTGAATTAGCTGCAACTTTCTAATAGATTTTTTAGTGAGGCCTGTAAAGACACCATTGCAGTAGTCGAGTCTACTGAAGATAAAAGCATGGACAAGTTTTTCCAAATCCTGCTGTGACATTAGTCTTTTAATCCTAGATATGTTCTTTAGGTGATAGTAGGCTGATTTAGTAACTGTTTTAATGTGACTGTTGAAACTCAGGTCAGAGTCCATGACTACACCTAGATTTCTGGCTTCATCTGTTGTTTTGAACATTGCAGACTGAAGCTCAGCGCTAACTTTTATACGTTCTGCCTTGGCTCCAAAAACCATTACCTCAGTTTTATCTTTGTTTAATTGGAGAAAGTTCTGACACATCCAGTCATTGATTTGTTCAATGCACTTACTCAGTGTTTGAATTGGAGCATAGTCTCCTGGTGAAATTGTTACGTAAATTTGTGTGTCATCCGCATAGCTATGGTAACTTATTTTGTTGTTTTTCATTATCTGAGCCAGTGGTAGCATGTAGATGTTAAAGAGAAGAGGCCCCAAGATGGAGCCTTGAGGTACCCCACATGTCATATTTGTCAACTCAGATGTGTATTTACCTATAGAAACAAAGTTTTTTCTGTCCTTTAAGTAGGACTCAAACCAATTTAGAACTGTTGCCGAAAGTCCCACCCAGTTTTCTAGTCGGTCTAGTAATATGTTGTGGTCAACAGTGTCAAACGCAGCACTGAGATCTAATAATACTAACACTGAAGTTCTGCCACTGTCTGTGTTTAAGTGGATGTCATTGAAGACCTTTACAAGAGCAGTCTCAGTGCTGTGGTTTGGACGAAATCCTGACTGGAACACATCCAAACAGTTATTTAAATGCAAGAAGTTACTCAACTGTTGAAAGACAACTTTTTCAATGATTTTACCTAGAAATGGCAGGTTTGATATTGGCCTGTAATTGTTCATTACTGAGGCATCTAGATTATTCTTTTTTAAGAGCGGTTTAATGACTGCAGTTTTCAGGGCCTCTGGAAAAATACCTGAGTGAAGAGATGTGTTTACTATATGAAGTAGATCTGAGGCCATGCAAGGAAAAACATCTTTGAAAAATCCTGTTGGAATAATATCAAGGCAGCAGGAGGAGGATTTCAGAAGTTGAATTGTGTCAGTGAAGAAGGAGGCAAAATCAGTATGTAGTGTCTCTACTTTAAAGAGTCCTCTCCTGCTGATGTTCAGGTGTATATCAGTATGAAGTGTCTCTACTTTAAAGAGTCCTCTCCTGCTGATGTTCAGGTGTAGTGTCTCTACTTTAAAGAGTCCTCTCCTGCTGATGTTCAGGTGTATATCAGTATGTAGTGTCTCTACTTTAAAGAGTCCTCTCCTGCTGATGTCCAGGTGTATATCAGTATGTTGTGTCTCTACTTTAAAGAGTCCTCTCCTGCTGTTGTCCAGGTGTATATCAGTATGTAGTGTCTCTACTTTAAAGAGTCCTCTCCTGCTGATGTTCAGGTGTATATCAGTATGTAGTGTCTCTACTTTAAAGAGTCCTCTCCTGCTGATGTTCAGGTGTATATCAGTATGTAGTGTCTCTACTTTAAAGAGTCCTCTCCTGCTGATGTTCAGGTGTATATCAGTATGTAGTGTCTCTACTTTAAAAGGAACTCTTTAAAGATAAAATAAAGATGAATTTTCAGTTTACAACATATTAGTTTTTATTTCCAGACACAAAGAAAACGGGTTTATGATATTTAATACAAAAGATTTCAACATAAATACCAAAATTAAAGAATACAAGATAACACTACATCTCCCATGATGCACTGGGATAGGAAGTGGCTCAGATTCTGGTTCCTGGCATCAGCCCAGCTTTAGCAGCGAGGGCCTCGTTCTGCTGGATGTGATACTCCTGGAAGCGCATGGAGATCCTTTGAGTCATCTTCAGGTACTTCTGCAGGCAGGACTCTGAGCAGCTGGACTGTAACACAACACACACTGTAAATACACTACAACTCCCAGGGTGCATCTCACCAACAGCAGAGGCTCATGGGTATTGTAGTATAACTGATGTTTTTATATTTACCTCCTCTGGCTTCACCTCCCTGGTCGTGAAGTCTCTGACACAGTCCATGAAGCAGTTCTCCGTCACCTTGTTATACGTCCCCAAAAACTCCTTAAACTGAGACACAAAACCCCTTAAAGTGAGACACGAAAAGCCTTAAAGTGAGACATATAAGGTATTAAAAGCCCACTGTCAGTCTGTTTACCCCTGATCTTCAGTGACCATGGCCCTTTCTCATGTCTTCAAATGTCCCTCCTCGACTCCCCTCCTCGACTCCTATCCTCGAGACTTAGTCCCGCCCACAGGAGATGCGAGCGGAGGAGCCGAGGAGGGGAAGCAGCAGGCGGTTAGAGAAATGAGAACTCCTCTCCTCTGAGCGGTCATTTTAAAGAGACGTCCATTAATGATGACAGGAGGCACAGCAGCCCTCTGTCTGATGGACAGATGTGTTCATGACGACTTATATATTTACTTTTAATTCATTCACAGTGCGGTATAATGAGACAATAACAGGCTACAGATGCGCACGCACGCATGCACGCACACACACACACACACACACACTTATATAAATATATACAATTTCAGAATCAAACAGAGCACTCTCATAATAACGTAACCCTATCAGAGACTGGATATATCCCCTCTCCCCTCTCTGGTCGCTACAATGAGGGAAATAAATGACGGGCCAAAAGTTTTATTTACAAGTATTACAAGTAAGCAGAGGACACCAAACCAACTGAGACCTGTCTGTCCGCTGCATCTACGCACACACTGTACCACACACACCTACACTACACACTGTACCACACACACCTACACTACACACACGCACCTACAGCTCCTAAAGCATATCATCTGGCTACAGCCGTTGTGTATTTTATTTTGTGAAGCACTAAATGGTTTTAGAAAAATATCGACTTTGTTTGTAGATATCTACTAAACTAAAGCAAATAAAGAGAGTAGGCCTGTTAGACTGAGTGATATATATTATACACACTGCTCTGCTTTCTGCACGGACCTCACAGCTGTTCTCACTGTAAACATCGCGTTGCGATGAAAGCAGTTAATAAAATAATATCCAGGGGATGCATGCAGAGCTGTCATTGGCTGAGATAAGTCCGGCCGTGCGTCTCGACTCTTTGAAACATCACTGTTGCCGGAAATGCATCCACGAAGGAGCCGTGGAGGACCCATCAGTGTATCCTCGGTTAGAGCTCCTCCAGAGAGCCTCCTCGACGCTCGATGCTCGGTCCTCGATGTGCATTTCGAGAAATGAGATGTCCTTCAACATGGCGCGCTAAAATTCATTTCCGGGTCACTACCGGAGGACCGAGGAGTCGAGGATGGGACATTTGATGACATGAGAAAGGGCCCAACAGAAACCCTGTTTGTTATTCAGGTGTGCTTCCTGTTAGAGACGGACCAATCAGACGAGGGCTCACCTGTTTGATCTGGTCGGACTCGGTCGTCTGCGCCGCCATTATTCAGATCCTCTGAGGACAGAAAATAAAAACATTATAATTATTATAACAGATAATAATAATGATATCTGTGAAATACGGACCTGAAGGACCAGGTCCAAAGCCCCGAGTAGACACAACTGAGACACAAAAATCCCTAAACTGAGACACAAAACCCTTAAACTGAGACAGAAAACCCCTTAAACTTAGACACAAAACCCCTTAAACTTAGACTCAAAAACCCTTAAACTTAGACTCAGAAACCCTTAAACTGAGACAGAAAAACTCCTTAAACTGAGACGGAAAAACCCTTAAAGCAGATTAAAGCTCACAGAATAAAGAAGTAGGATGTTTAACATGTGAGAAATATATTAAATATAAACACATTTATTATAAAGAGTTATTCATTTATATTATTATTTATCACTTAGTACATTTAAAATGTTACAACGAAATATAAAGATTACAGAAAGCACTATTAACATCATTATTTATAACGAATATAAATGAATGAGTGTGTGTGTGTGTGTGATTAGAATCATCACTGAGCTGCTCTTTAAATACTGTTTAATAATCTGTTATTATCCAGCAGGAGCTACATGCTACA